CACAATAATAAATAACTAATTAAAACATAAACAAACTCATGACAAGTTAAATTAACAGATGTATGACTTAATGCTTTAAATGTTTACTATTACCATATTATTACAATCAATCTTTTTCATGTTCTTTTTTTATTAATTCATTCAATAAAGTTTTGTTCAAATTCTATATTTCTCAAACCTGAGCTGAGTTATTCAACACTGATTTCAAATTCTCCAAAACCCACTTTAAAAGAGTTGACATTTTTCCGTTAGATTTTTAATTCTCCCAAAAGACTTAGTGAAATAAGATCTTGCCAACTTTTTGTAGATCAAGTTTATTGTATTGTCCCTGTGAACTAAAGCCATAGTTAAATATCTGACAAATATGGTCGCACAATATTATACATAATAGAAATAACCTTTATATTTCCTCAGTGGGGAAAAGTATGTGTCCCTGCAGCAAAGAGAAACACAAGTGGAAGCATACAGATAAACACAAAGCTGAAAACTAAAGAAAGTAATAATAGGTGCCTGAGCAACAACTGCAAATTAGCAACATAAGAAAAAAATACTTTCTTTTCTGTTGAAACTAATAAAGGAAATTTGAACCTAAGTCGTTTAATTTTAAGAAATGTCAAAAACTTGTATGGAGTTATGCATAAAAAAACACTGACAATAAAAATGAAAAAGACTACAAAAACAACAGAGATATAAACACTTATTGAGTTTGTTGGGAGCAGTGGTGGCTATAAAGTGCCATGGCTGCTGGTAGGAAGGATCTGTGATAATGTTCCTTTGTGCATCAAGGATGCAGCACTGAATCAACGGGGCATGCCAGGACACAGCTGTTCTTCCTGTGTGCAAAATATTTTTAAATGTTACACCTTTTTTAAAAAAAAGGATGTTGTTACTCTGTGATATGTGAGTCAATTCATAGACCCAATCTTTATCTGTCTGCACTAAACAAACACAATCACAGCGATTACTACCAGAGTTTATTGGCTGTAGGAATTTAAACTGCTCCTTCCACCTATGTCTGAAAAAGTTGAAACCAAACTTAATATCAGCTGTTAATGGACGGCTATAGACAAAAACACACTCTGAAAAACTAAAAGCTTGAAGCAACAACCATGTGTTAAAAGGCACACATACTTGAGGAAATGCTAGGAAACCATGGCTCAGATTTATACAGCTCTGTAATGGACTCCCACTCCGATGCTCCTTCACCCACCAATCCACCCACGGACAATATTCTCAAGCAGAAAAGCAAAAAGATTAAAATAACACAACTGGAGCAGTACTTGTGATTCAAACATGTACATTTACTTATTTTTCTCCTGTTGGTTGAGGCTCTTGGAGATGTTCACACACAGGTAGAGATGACACCCCTGATATAACCTGACATCAGGTATCACTTCAGGAACGAATTGACAAGCCAACCTGTGGTAGAACCAAATCTAGCTCTCATCACCATCCTACTGTGCTTCGTTGCTAACACACACACACACATGTATTCAAAGATCCAGACTGGAGAGCTAGTCCAAGCAACAAGTGGAGGGGTTATCTAATGATCCTGTCATAAATAAGTAAACCCTAAACCAGATTTCCTTTGGAGGCTGATTAACAAAACCTTTGCTGAACTGCAATCATTTGAACCAGGTCTGATAAAGTAGATGCACTTCTAAAGCCTGTAGCTAATATTGGTCTAAGCAGATAAAATCTGTATAAAAAGCAATGATCAGAACCTGGCCACAAAGTTTGGATTTTCATCTTGACATCCCAGTGGAGTACATAGAAGGGTTGGATTTCATATTCCTGGTCATAACTGGTTGCTACTTCCTGTAAGCTGAGCGATCCCATATAAGGCAGGAATAGCGGACAAACTCTGCCACAGGGCTTTGTATTTCTCAACATATTACAATATACATGTCGTCATAAATAGACTAAATGGGTCAGTTCTGTTACTTTTGCTTATTTTCTTGTAAATCATAGCCCTTGTACCTTGTATTTGACAAGCTGTTACACCTGTTTTCGTTTGTCTGTTTCCCTAATTCAATAGGTTAAGAAAGTGTCCCTTCTAGGGTTGTAACATTGTTTTTTGGTATTGCAACAACCATAAACAGAAATGTTGGATTTTTTTTTTCTGAAATGCAAACAAACCGCCATTAAGACGATACATATGGACTTGTTGCATCCTTTTTTCATTTAGTGAATGACACCACTTCTAAATTGTATACGTAAATTAGTGACAGCCATCATTCAGATACAAGTCTGTAGGGTGTAGTTTCTGTGGGTGTCCATATCAGATGAAAGAGGACATGTATTTGCTGATGTGATACACAAACTTTTTTTTATACATGCACACGTGAGCTTCCAAATTCCTCAAACTTCTCAAAGAGTTTTTTTTTGTGTGTGTCCCTGCAAGGGTCACTGTGTCCATATAGGCTCAGATTTCAGCAGACAAAACCTTTTCTCCTTCTCCTTCAGTCACAAACACAAACTCTTTCCGTTGTCTATCATCTTGACAGAAATCAGCCGGACATGTCAGGAAGTAGCAATAAAGTGTTTTGTCTCTGTTCTCTGAGCCATTTCTGACATTCTTTAATCTGTACCGAAACGACACAACAAACATTTCGTATTATTAAACCTTATGTGAAGAGTAGTGGCTGTACACCAATTGAAAAAAGGGAAGATAATAGCATTTCTTGACAATAAGGAAAGCTGAAAACACACTTTAACAGTGATTAAAGCTTGAATGACTAATTGATGTAGTTCGTGTAGAATAAGATAATAATGAGCCAGACCGATGAGATGAGCAGATGTGGCGGGACTGGTAGGTCTCTGGTTGTGTGTGTGTGCATGAATGTGTGTGTGTGCCTCATCTATTCTAGGAGAATTCCAGAGGAGAGACCCTGTGACTGACCCCCACCTTTCAGGACCTGACAGGGTATAGCCACAGAGCAGGCACACTTACACATATGAATGTCGGTGTGTTTGTCTCTGCACAAACACAAAACATCATATTGAAGGTGTGAAGAACACATAGGGACCAAATACATGGCATAATAGCACTGGAGGGTCAACATTATTTAACACAAATTCCTAATATTTTTTATTTTTTTAAACAGATTTGTTTCTGATTAAGTATTTTGTTTTTGTTCAGAGAGGACTGCAGAACTTAAAAATTCATTTTAATGCAGTTTTTAAATCTGTCGGGGCTTCTAAATAAATAATTAAAGCACTAACTGAACATATTACTGATTGATATGTATAATGGTAAATCACATAACTGCTCTCCAGGAAGATCTAACCAGCAAATGCCTTTTTGGGGCCAATATTAGCTTCTCACTGTATAAGCAAATGTAAAATAGTTTTTTATATATAATTTTTATGTATAATATAAAATATATATATATAATATTTTTTTATATATAATAATTAGCAGTTCCCAGCTGTCAATCACTTGCCAACTGTTGTATTAACAAAACACTAAATGATATCATCTATCATGGAGCTTCTGATTTATGAAATCCTTTTAATGAGTTGCTAGAACTGGTGCTAGTAAGTACTTTTTGCTAGTAAGAAACGCTGAGCACTGCCCATCTTCCCAGTGTTATTGAATGCTTTCAATGACACTGCTAGGTCGGAGCTATTTAACATGGACAGGTTTGACATCACATCCACCAAACAGTGCTGGAACTTCCTAACCCAAACCATATTCTGGGAAAATACACTACAGGCTTTTAGATTCATCAGCGCTGAACTATGGGGGTAGTCTGCAAACGATGTTTTAATCATAATGGGTCAAATAATAAAGATTTTTCTAAGTACAAAATCAAAAAATGTCTTTTTAAAACCCTTATCTAAATGACGGGCGAGTTATATCAGCCTGCATCTTGAATCTTGAAAATTATCGACAATTGTTCTCTGTTCAAGTAGCAAGCTTTTCCTACAAAAGTATGAATGATTCATCCTGACATCATAGCTGGTCCATATCAATAACGCTCATTGCTCAAAGCTACAATGTGGGTATAATATCAGCAATTAAAAGGTTGTATAAGACATCCTTTAGCGGAAGAACAAAAAACACCTGTAATCCATCTCTTTTTAGCAGCAGTAAGATTGATGAATGCATTTCTGATTGAAGTAAAATCAATGTGATATGTAATATTTTATAATTTAAAACAAGAAGAGAACATCTAAAGATGATAGTTTCCCAACAGGTTAAAGAAATGCTTGCTTATATTAGACAGTTTCAATTTACTTTTCAATGGTACAGGTGACTTTTACCATTCAGATTTCAAACTTTATGGAATTTTTAAGGGGAAAAAATCCAACCACAAAGAGAACATACCATAATACCTTGTAGATGTGAATATCTTAGTCATGGTAGTCACAAATGATCATCTCAAACTACCCCATTTTCATGTAAAATCATAGCCTTGGCTCAGCCAGCTGATCAGCAGTGTGTAGGGTAAAAAAAAAAACTGAACGCCCTTGCACCTTCTATGCATTTCATGAAATGGACTTTAAACTGCAGGAAGTAATGATGGAAGATATCTGTAGTAATAAAACCTCAACTCTTTAGAACCTTAAAACATTAATGAAGGAAACTGTTCAGCAAAGAAAACACTGACTGGACATCTACTGAGAGAAATTACAGAATTGAATTCAAAAGAGGCAGTTAGGTTTAGAAAATGCAGTTATTCTTCCTCCACAGGTTTCAACAGATTATCTAGTGCTGGACCACTTGTTAGAGCCGTTCAGGTGCCCCCCTCCTTAAACAGTCCTGGCCAAAGATGTCCCAACTTCCTTCCACACAACTGGAGGTCCCCCCCTGATGTGAGACGGCAGGAGCGCGCACCGCTTAGTGCGCACAGAGCGCAAAAATGTTCTAAAATTTGCCCAATTTCGCCAAAAAAAAAATAATGTGTCCAGTAAACCAAGAAAAACGTTGCTACAACGCAAGTTTCCTGAAGCAGAGAGCAGAGGAGGCTCTCCTTCTGACACCACCGTCTTACCTTCTTCCTGCGCGGCTCACTCCTCCTTCCAAACGATTCCCCCAAAACTCTTTGTCACGACGAGGCTCCGCGCAGCCCGCAAAACCAGAGCAGCTGCGGCTCCGCAGCAGAGGACAGGCTAGAGGGAGCGGGGCTTTGCTCCGACACGCAGGGGCTCCGTGTGTGTATGTGGATTAGTATCTGACAGCTCATGGAGAGAATGAGCAGTAATGAGAAGAGAACCGGGGAAGTTAGGGGGGAGTTCCCGTCAACAGACCGGCGGGGCGGGGGCTGCAGGAGACTGACGGGCGGCTCGATTTTCTTTTTTTTTCTGTTTACAAATCGTTTGTGATCCTCAACTAGATGCTGCATTCATATAATAGCTCACATGATAGATAGATAGATAGATAGATAGATAGATAGATAGATAGATAGATAGATAGATAGATAGATAGATAGATAGATAGATAGATAGAGCATTATTTTATAAAGGGCTCAAAAACATTAATGTATAAAAAATGACAAATAACAGCCGATACCAATGCCAACATCAATATATCATGCATCACTAATATGGACACAACTTCACTTCCATCAATCCATCCATGCATAGCTTCCCTTCAAGCTGCATCAGTGATTATCCTCCTTCATAAGGAGCCAAATCAAATTTAGAAATTTGTCCCATATGTCATTGACAGCCAAAGTTTTTTTTATTGAACCTTGTATTTCAAAAATCATTTATACACTGATTTGTATTATTTGTGCTTTAATTCTTGTAGGTTTCTTATACTTTAATTTTCAGTCTGTGTCCTGTGAGTCTGGCTGTCTCTGGGTTGCAGCTATTTCTGAGTCTCGTTGAACTACAAAAGACAAAATTATATGTTCAATTTTATTATAGCATTGCATATTTTTTCTTGTAAACTTGGGAGATATATTTTATTGCATGTTGCATATCCCAGTAAATCTGTTTCCCCTTTAAATCAGCAGCTGTCCCTAATTGTGTCTCTGCTCTGCTTAAAAACTGATTTATGAACCTGTCTACCAATATAATGATGTCAGAGAAAATCATTTTCAGGATCTTTAGAAGCTCTGCAGTCTGATTCTCTGTTCAATAAGAAAACAACAGATATGTGTTCATTTTAATCTGTAACTCTGAGTATAGTCCTGAGAAGCCCAGCTTTTTTAACTCATATAAATGTACAATCTGCTGCCATTTTAGCTTAAAAAGGTCTGTATGTGTAACTAACGGATTTTTCGGTGGCATCTCTGATTTTTTTTAACCAACCTACTCCTAACTTTTACTTAAACATATATCGGAGTAGCTGCCAGTTAAAAGTCACTGAGTGCTGCTGCGAATTTATGTTAAAACGGCTTGCCATATAGGGCATCTCTTCTAATCCTCATAGCTACTCTGTATGCAGTGGATAGTGACCCTGAATAATATTATGTCCCAAAGCGACAGATCCGATGATATTTCACCGAGAGGTGGGACTGGAGAGCAGTGGGAGAGCGAGGAAAAAACACAGACTGAAAACGCTCTGAACACAGACAGCTGCACCCAACCCCAATTACTGGAAATCAGTGGAAAGGGGGGGGAAAAGCGGAAATGATTGGTGGAAACTGTCCCCACCATGCCCAAAGTCGTTGGGGACATGTCCACACCAGTCCTTCAGAAAGTTGCGCAGAAAGTTCTGCACCCTATGTACATTTTTAAAGCTGAGCCCTAAATAGATCAGCTTTCTGGAAATAGATATTTTTATATTTCCAACAGAGGTTGATATTTGGTCTACATATGGGGTTACGACTTAGATATGACAGAACATATTTTTAGAGTGCCTATGGTTATCGTGATTGCGTTTAAAATACCCAATTGTTGCCAAAGATACAATGCATCAATCCAGGATTAAAATCTGCAAAAGAGGTCAGCAAATTAAATAATAATATGTGCTTTATTTCATGGATGGATCTAGACAAAGGCCAATGGGGGCGGCAGTGCCCCTACAGAGCGTATCCTGGCCCAGAGTCTTGCACTGGGTCGGGCACCCAAATAAAACTTGCATCTACGGGTAGAAAAAAACTCCCAAATGATTTCATTTATTTTTATTTTCCTATTCATTAACTCTAGCTAAGCAACACGGCAAACCGTCCTACTTCAGTTACTTAATATGTGAGCAGTGTGCACTGGATATGAGCGTGAGGCATGTTCTTTTTTGCCTCTGTTATTATAAATGGCTGTGTGTTCAGTTCGTCATTCAGTTGGTCGGGTCGCACTTTATTATTTATGGGTATGTGCGGACCTGGGTTTTAAATGGGGATATTTGCAGGTAATGGTTCGGGTCTTGGTTCAGAACTCTATGGATGCGGTCGAATGCAGTTTTGAAAAGTCAGACCCGTGCAGGACTCTGTCCTGGCCCATGTTATGTTACCTTGCAATCAATATGAATTATCAAGATATTTTTTAATGCACAATCCCTGGAAAACACATCTTGCTAGAAGCCAATATATGCATTCGTCTAGATACAGAATTGTTTCATATGAAATGCAGTGGTGTATGAAACAGAAGGCTGAAGTAAAACAAGCATGGCTGTGTCATTTTTAACTGGAATACCCTCTATTTCTTGTTTAAAAGTAGGCAAAAGGACAAAATTTGGGCCTTTGTAGTTGGGAAAGATGTTTGTGTGTTCCTCTGCATCTTGATGTATCAGTTAACTCTACTACTTGTGAAACAAATCAAGAATGTGACATGTCACTGATGCTACTGCTGCTGTGACAAAAGCTCTGCTAAAAACGCGACATGGCAAGCAGGTTCCCGCTTGGTGATTTGTCCGATCAGCTCAAAGAATTGTACTGAATGTCCCTCCCCTCTGTAAACAATTTCAACAGGAGCCTTCCATATGGATGCTGTGTAGAATTCAATTTGAACTAAATATATTAATAATCCCCGGTTACCTGTTATGGCCCCTTTACTGAAAACAAACAGTGCAAAAATTTGAGTAAATTTAGTGTATTTACCTTTTAATTTAATCAGTTAGCTAAGGCAATTAACCAATGGAATAAGATGATTTATGTTTAAAATTCAAAATAGCTAGAACTCCATTATCTTATTTCAAGTGTATCGTATCAAATTATCTTATTATAATGACAAAGACAGCCCTTCCTTTGGAAAACCATCTAATTTAGCTGCTTGAATTGAGGTAAATTGTCCAGACTCAGAACAGAGGACCCAGTATTCAGGGAGATAGGTTGATATAATATACAAAAGCATTTATTGACAACACGTGGAATCTGCGACTCAGCAGCTAGGACGAAAAAGGCTGGAATATCTATAGAGGGGAAAACTCAGTTTTAGTGTCCACGTAAATTTGATGGAGGATGATCACGAGCATGTGAGTCACTAACCTGGTTTTAAAGTTCAGCCCAAGCCCAGAAGAATAAGTGGAATCAAGGTGGATGATATCCGACAACACGTGGGGGACGCCGCCCAGAGAGTTCCAGGGGCTGAAGCCAAGAAGGCAGCTGAACTGGCTGATGAGCAGAAGCAAGCAGACAAGGGAAAGCAGAAGTTTCCAGAAGGCAAAGGCAAAGCCAAAGCCGGTTCCGATCCAAAGGGAAATCCAAGTCGGGGTCAACAGACAGATCCAGGGACGAAAGCAGGCAGAATCTAGTGGGAGTCCGAAGACAGGTCAGGCAAACAGATCAGGACTGGGGCAGGCAGGTTCAGAGGTCCAAAGGCAGAACTAGTCATCAGAACAACACACAGGGTACGCTAGAGAACTCTCATCAAAGGCACAAATAATCTGGCACTGAAGACTGAGGGCAAGCAGCCTAAATGGAGGCAGGTGTGTTAGATAAATAGTAATGAGAAACGAGGTGGAGCTAGGCACGTGAATAGAATGAACCATTAAGCCAGCAATCAGCGCCAAGATAATGACAAAAATAAACTTAGTAGGATGAGTTTTTGCAGTGTAATATGTAATATAAATTTCTTATGATGATATACACTGAATTAGTGTTAGGCACAATGATATTTTGCCTTGCACTTTACTTTGACAGTTAAATAGAAATTAGATTCAACATTAACTCTAGCCATATTAAGATAGGATCACTGTTTTCATCTGTGGAGTCTGCCACCTTGGGTTTTTATGCATAATATGCTAAAACCATGCATGCTTGCTCTTACTTTTGTTTCTAATCTTTTGTTCTGTGCCCCCATGAAAAAAGGAGTGGCCCCACCCTGGCCCCGCTCTGGTAAATTTTGCCTAGAACCATCACTGTTGCATTTGATAACACAGATTTTTGTAATATAATTTTAATATTTTTAAACATTCAAAACATCCAAAATAAAATAGATTTTTTTTTTTCTAAATTCCACCAAAGATGCCACTGTTTAACAGAAACAAACATCTGCATTAAAGGAATTAATTACTGGAATTTATAACACTTGAGACAAATACCAAAGTTTCTCATATTTGGCATGCAAAAAAATTAGAAAATATATCTTTTCATCTGGGGTGGACTGTTTGTCCCATTTTCAGTCATCAGCATGTATGCTTATGATAAATATCAGAATTGCGTGTTTTGAGAGAGAACACACTTTTTTAATTTGAAAAGCACTTGTGAAATTAGTTTTAATGTGGGAAACTGCCGAAGTGTAACTTGAGCAGCATGCAGACAGTTTTCTACCAAATCAGCAGCAAACATCTTCTTATTACAGGGCCTGAGCTGTAATGAGTAGTTTCTATGTATCTATGCTATAAATAAGCTGTAGTCTATGAGGACATAGTGATTACTGAATAACAACCCATCAGGTTCTTTTGTGAGATTTATAGTTAAGGTTCAGTTAAAGGAAATGTGCTTTGCACATCAAGTTACAATGCACAATTGATTTGGTGGATTGCAATATTTCTGTGCTTTAAAACTGTTGTTTCTATGGAGACTAGGTGGTAGGCTTCTCCACTGATGCAGATTATGATCCTGAACTGATTTTACAGTAAATGTGGACAAGAAAATAATCTGTTGTTGCTGTTAAACATGGAGCTAAGAGAGATAAACAGTTTCAACCAAAGTCTCAGTCCAAGAACTCCCCTCTGATTCCTCTGTTTTGTTGACAGGAAGTGACAGAAATACTTGCGTTCTGACCCTCCTCTGACTCGCCATGTGTGTCTCCATTCTGCATTGCCCATCCATGTCTGCAATATCTGTTTGAAGAGACAGCGAGGCTGCAGGCTCTGCTCGACCATAACAGACC